TCTCGTTCGCAACAAGTGGCGGTCCAACGCTGCTCTCGTTGTCGAGACCGGTGAGGCCCGTGAGGTGCACCACATGTGCGTGCTCGTCGGATATGGTGCTGATGCCATCTGCCCGTACCTCGCCATTGAGTGTATCCTGAAGATGCACCGCGAGGGTGTCATCCGGAAGAAGCTCAGCCCTGAGCAGCTCATCGACAACTACAAGCACTCCTGCGACGGTGGTATCTTGAAGGTCATGAGTAAGATGGGTATCTCTACCCTCTCATCCTACAAGGGTGCTCAGATTTTCGAGGCTCTTGGTCTTGACGACTCTGTCGTTGACCGATGCTTCACTGGAACTGCCTCTCGTATCAAGGGTATGACCTTTGAGCTGATCGCTTCCGATGCTTTCGCTCTTCACGAGAAGGGTTACCCATCGCGCGCCATCGTCGAGGTACCCGGTCTTGCTGAGACTGGTGAGTACCATTGGCGTGACGGAGGCGAGCCTCACGTCAACGACCCGACTGCCATGGCCAACATCCAGGACGCCGTCCGCACCAAGAATGACAAGTCATACGAGGCCTACTCTATTGCTGAGTACGAGCGCATCAAGGACTGCACCCTCCGTGGTCTCCTTGACTTCAACTTCGATGACCGTGCACCGATCCCCATCGACCAGGTCGAGCCTTGGACTGACATTGTGCGCCGCTTCGTTACCGGTGCCATGTCCTACGGATCCATCTCCATGGAGTCTCACTCTACTCTTGCTGTCGCCATGAACCGTCTTGGCGGTAAGTCAAACACTGGTGAAGGTGGTGAGGACCCCGAGCGCAGCTTGCGCATGGAGAATGGTGACACTATGCGCTCCGCTATTAAGCAGATTGCCTCCGGACGTTTCGGTGTTACCTCCAACTACCTCGCCGATGCCGATGAGCTCCAGATTAAGATGGCTCAGGGTGCCAAGCCTGGTGAGGGTGGTGAGCTTCCTGGCCACAAGGTCTCTGGCTCCATCGCTAAGACCCGGCACTCGACTCCTGGTGTCGGTCTCATTAGTCCTCCTCCCCACCACGACATTTACTCCATTGAGGATCTCAAGCAATTGATCTACGATCTCAAGTGCTCCAACCCTCGCGCTCGTGTCTCCGTCAAGCTCGTTTCCGAGACTGGTGTTGGTATCGTCGCTTCCGGTGTCGCCAAGGCCAAGGCTGATCACATCCTCATCTCCGGTCACGACGGTGGTACTGGTGCTTCTCGATGGACTGGTATCAAGTACGCCGGTCTTCCCTGGGAGTTGGGTCTTGCCGAGACTCACCAGACTCTTGTCCTCAACGATCTCCGTGGTCGTGTTATTGTTCAGACTGATGGTCAGTTGAGAACTGGACGTGATGTTGCCATTGCTTGTTTGCTTGGTGCTGAGGAGTGGGGTTTCGCTACCACTCCTCTGATTGCTATGGGTTGCATCATGATGCGCAAGTGCCATCTCAACACCTGCCCTGTCGGTATCGCCACCCAGGACCCTGAGCTCCGAAAGAAGTTCCAAGGCACACCCGAGCATGTCATCAACTTCTTCTACTACATCGCCAACGAGCTCCGTGCGATCATGGCCAAGCTTGGCTTCCGTACCATCAACGACATGGTTGGTCGCTGCGAGGCTCTACGCATTCGCGATGATCTCCGCACCGCGAAGACTGAGAACATTGACTTGTCTCTCATCTTGACTCCCGCTCACACCCTTCGCCCGGGCGTTGCCACCTTCAACGTGCGCAAGCAGGATCACCGTCTGCACGTCCGTCTCGACAACAAGCTCATTGCTGAGTCCGAACTCGCTCTTGAGAAGGGTCTTCCCGCCCGTATCGAGTGCGATGTCGTCAACACCGACCGTGCTCTTGGTGCTACCCTCTCATACCACATCAGCAAGCGCTACGGCGAGGCTGGACTGCCCCAAGACACCATCCACGTCAACATTCGTGGCTCTGCTGGCCAGTCTTTTGGTGCTTACCTGGCACCTGGTGTCACTCTTGAACTTGAGGGTGACGCTAACGACTACGTCGGTAAGGGTCTTTCTGGCGGTCGCCTGATCATCTACCCTCCCCGCAACGCCGTTTACCGCGCTGAGGAGAACGTCCTCATCGGTAACGTCTGCTTGTACGGTGCTACTCGCGGTACATGCTTCTTCCGCGGTATCGCTGCCGAGCGCTTCTGTGTCCGTAACTCCGGTGCCACAGCGGTCGTTGAGGGTGTTGGTGACCACGGTTGCGAGTACATGACTGGTGGTCGTGTCCTTGTCCTTGGCTCTACTGGACGTAACTTCGCCGCCGGTATGTCTGGTGGTATTGCATACGTTCTTGACATCCACAAGGACTTCGAGCAGAAGGTCAACCAGGAGATGGTCGAGCTTTCCGGCATCGAGGAGCCAGAGGAGATCGCTTTCGTGCGTGGACTCATCGAGGACCACCACCACTACACTGGCTCCGAGCTCGCCGCACGCATCCTGCTCGACTTCACCCGCGCACTGCCCCGCTTCGTCAAGGTCATGCCCGTTGACTACAAGCGCGTCCTCCTCGAGGAGAAGGCCAAGGCTGCCGAGAAGAAGAAGAACGAATACCCTCTTCCCCTCCTTCCCGGTAACTCCGTCCGCGCCAGCCACGAGGAGTCGCGCAACAAGGAAGCTGAGGCCGAAGCCAAGGAGAAGAAGAAGAGCGACCTCCTCGACATTGAGGAGAGTGTCACTGACGCAAAGGCCGAGAAGAAGAAGGCACTCGTCCTTGACAAGACCCGCGGTTTCATGAAGTACCAGCGCCGATCTGAGAAGTACCGCAACCCCAAGACACGTACTCGTGATTGGGCCGAGCTGAACCAGCGTCTTAACGAAGATGAGCTGAAGTACCAGACTGCTCGTTGCATGGACTGCGGTGTTCCTTTCTGTCAGTCGGACACTGGTTGCCCGATCAGTAACATTATTCCCAAGTGGAACGAGCTCGTTTTCCAGGGACAATGGCGTGACGCCCTCAACCGTCTTCTTATGGTAAGTCTTGACACTCCGAAGTATATGCGAGACAAATACTGACATTCTTGGGTGTGCAGACCAACAACTTCCCTGAGTTCACTGGACGTGTTTGCCCGGCTCCTTGCGAGGGAGCCTGTGTTCTTGGCATCAACGAGGACCCCGTCGGCATCAAGTCCATTGAGTGCGCCATTATCGACCGTGGTTTCGAGAAGGGCTGGATGGTCCCCTCGCCGCCTCAGGTCCGCTCTGGCAAGACTGTTGCCATCATCGGTTCCGGCCCTGCTGGTCTTGCTTGCGCTGATCAGCTTAACAAGGCTGGTCACACCGTTACCGTCTACGAGCGCGCTGACCGTGTCGGTGGTCTGCTCATGTACGGTATCCCCAACATGAAGCTCGACAAGAAGGTTGTCCAGCGTCGTGTTGACTTCATGGCTGCCGAGGGTGTCAACTTCAAGACCGGTGTCACTGTTGGCGAGGATGGCCAGACCAACCTCGATGCTCTCCGCAAGGAGTACGACGCTGTTGTCTTCGCCACCGGAGCTACCGTCGCTCGTGACTTGCCCATCCCCAACCGCAACCTGGAGGGTATCCACTACGCCATGCAGTTCTTGCACAAGAACACCAAGTCTCTCCTCGACTCCGAATTGGCTGACGATGCCTACATCTCGGCCAAGGACAAGCACGTTGTTGTCATCGGAGGTGGTGACACTGGTAACGACTGCATTGGTACTTCCGTCCGTCACGGCGCCAAGTCAGTCGTCAACTTCGAGCTTCTGCCCCAGCCTCCCGCTGAGCGTGCTCGCGACAACCCATGGCCACAGTGGCCTCGTATCTTCCGTACCGACTACGGTCACAACGAAGTCAAGACTCACATGGGCAAGGACCCTCGTGAGTACTGTGTCATGTCCAAGGACTTCGTCGACGACGGCAGCGGCAAGGTCAAGGGTATCAACACCGTCCGTGTTGAATGGACCAAGTCCGCCTCAGGTGGCTGGGACATGAAGCACGTCGAGGGCAGCGAGCAGTTTTTCCCCGCCGACCTCGTCCTGCTCTCCATGGGTTTCTTGGGTCCCGAGCAGCGTGTCATGAGCGACGTCATCGAGCTTGATGGCCGCAAGAACATCAAGACTCCTCCTGGTCACTACAACACCAACCTGGCCGGTGTCTTCGCCGCCGGTGACTGCCGTCGCGGACAGTCTCTTATCGTCTGGGGTATCAACGAGGGTCGCCAGTGCGCTCGCGACGTGGACACCTTCCTCACCGGCTACGGCACTTCCTTGCCCGTCACCGGTGGTATCGTCAAGCGCCCACCTTACGAGGCCATGCACAAGCACACTGCTGCTCCCACGGAGAAGCTGGTCACTGTCGCCGCTTAGACGCGAACATGATTATAACGATTACTTTATGAAGTAGAAAAGATGCATGGGAAAAGATGGATGGGCTCATGATAAAAGATGGGGGGTTTCGGGATATATTCACGATTTGTTTGGCGTTTGATCTTTTGTGTACAAGCATTTTCCCTCGTTTACCTGCACGATACCTTTTCAGTATGCGGAGTCAGCTGGGTGGCACCTGCAGTGTACAATGTTTTCTTCGCTTTGGTTGTTGGCTTTTGGTTTATTTAGTTCGCACTCAATTTGTATATATATGCGAATGCTATGTTCAAATGATTATTTGATGAGTTCCTGTGGCATGCACATGAGGTTCTTGACTATATTAACTATCGAAAATGCGTGATGCGATTCTAATGAACACAATTGCTGCAAGTGCGACTGAGATGTATGACCATTTTCCTTCATGAGCGTTGAGAGCTTTGGCATCAGTGATGGTCCGTTGCCGTTGCTTCGCTTCGTCAGGCCGCGAATGCACAAAGCCAAGATTCAGGTTTAGTGACGTCACGCACCTCCAACTCCAGATTCGCCATCGCCAAACCACACCCTAGGCAGCAAACATCGCTCGGGCGATCAACTCATTCTGCAGGTCGCCATGCCCCGGTGACAATTAGATACTGAGGATGATACCCCGTACCGGCTGGCATCAAGCCTGCCGTCGCCCTGTGCAAGGGCTAGCAAGGCACGTTCACGAAGCCGATCCTGGTTGCCGATCATCGAAAGTGTGCTAACAAATCATCAGGAACATATATCCGACACTTTCTGCAACATTGAAACCAAGTAATCTAGGTCACTGCAGACCGTGGACTGTCACCGCTCGCTATGTAACCGGACTGCAGGCAGGCGAAGACAAAACCGGCCACATCAGCGCCGGACCCAACGAAGGAATCCTCTTCTTCAACAATGTGTTCCCCATTCAGATCCGCAAGGTCCTAGGACTTCCTCTCCCTGGGCTCTTCGACCGCCTCATTAGTCCGGCTATCTCAGGCACCGACCCCAAAGCCGTTATTGAGCGAGCAAGCGCGAAACGAAATCTCCAGATTACTGGCACCGAGGTACTTCCGCGGACGAGAGAGGGAGGCGCATTCGTCAAATTCACGCATGATGGCAATGCGTCTGCTTCCGAGATCGAGAAAGTGCTGCAGCAGTACCTGAGAGATGAGCCTGTCAAGCCGTGGTGGAGTCCGTGGAAGAGGATGCGGGCTAAGATGGTCAAGGGAAAACCTTGGGTGGAAGATCTCATGCGTCTACCCGCTTCACGCCTGCGAGTCGAATTTGTGTCTGCTGAACCAGGCGTTCCAGCTTCTGAGGCTGTGGAGATGAGCCAGGAGCAGCTCTTCCAGTTCTTCAGGCCTTATGGCAAGCTGGGAGATATCGTTGTGCAACCTCCCGATTCGAAGGTCCTTCCCAAGTTCGCGTATCTGGACTACACTAGCATCGGTAAGGCCATCATGGCGCGGAACTGCATGCATGGCTATGTGGTTTCGGAAGCTGAGGGTGGGGGCAAGTTGGGTACGGTCTTGAGGTTGAAGTACGAGCAGAAGATCAAGCCGCGGTATATCAGGGATTGGATCTTTGGCCATCCGAGGATCATCATTCCGATCGTGGCGGCGCTTATTGCAGCTCTTGTTGCTATCATCTTTGACCCGTAAGTCAGACATGCACGTTTACGACCCAAACTGACAGGTACACAGCATCCGCACATTCTTCGTCAAGGCCCATATCACGCGCAACTTCCACATCGAGGACAACAAGTGGTACCAATGGATTAAGGGCTATGCTACAGACATCATTCACGGCGGCAAGACGCGCGATGACGACGACGGCATGGATGCCATCTGGGATGATAGGAAAGACAATATCGAACAGATCCAAACCTGGTTGATGGAGACTGCCGAGACTTTCATCATCGTCCAGGGCCCTCGCGGTTCCGGGAAGCGCGAGCTTGTGGTAGACCAAGCTTTGGAGGATAAGAAACTCAAGCTGGTAATTGACTGCAAGCCCATCCAGGAAGCTCGCGGCGAGAGCGCTACCATCAACGCTGCTGCGCTTTCTGTTGGATACAGACCGGTATTCAGTTGGATGAACAGCATATCTGGAATGATCGACATGGCCGCTCAAGGCGCTACAGGCGTCAAGACGGGCTTCTCGGAGACTCTTGACTCTCAACTCAGCAAGATCTGGAATACGACTACTTCGGCTTTACGACAAATCGCGCTGGATACACGACACAAAAACGACAAGGATGCGCACTTGGGTGATGACGAGTGGTTGGAGGCACACCCGGAACGCAGGCCGATTGTCGTGATTGACAACTTCCTCCACAAGAGCCAGGAAGGCGGTATCGTCTATGACAAGATTGCTGAATGGGCTGCGCGTCTCACAACGACGAACGTGGCTCATGTGATCTTCCTGACCAACGATGTCGCATTCAGCAAGTCGCTCTCGAAAGCCATGCCAGACCGCATGTTCCGTCAGATCTCGCTATCAGACTGCAGCCCCGAGGTCGCGAAACGATTCGTAATCACCCATCTCGACGCCGACGTCGAAGACGACCCAGCCCCAAAAGACGGCTCCCCCAAGAAACTCCCCTCTCAACACCGCAACGATCTCGACGAGCTCGATACCTGCATCGACCTCCTAGGCGGCCGCCTCACAGACCTCGAATTCCTATCCCGCCGAATCAAGACAGGCGAGACACCCACCAAAGCCGTTCACGAGATCATCGACCAGTCCGCCTCGGAGATTCTCAAAATGTTCATCTTTGGCGCAGAAGACGAAGGCGGGAACCGGCACTGGAACGCCGAACAAGCTTGGTTCCTCATCAAAGAACTCGCCCAAAAGGAAAGCCTCCGCTACAACGAAGTCCTCATCGACGATATTCTCAAAACAGGCGGTGAATCCGTTCTCCGTGCTCTCGAACAAGCAGAACTCATATCCATTGTTTCTGGTGCAAATGGCCGTCCTTCTATCATTAAGCCCGGCAAACCTGTCTACCACCCTGCGTTCAAGCGCCTGACTGAGGATAAGGTGTTGAAGTCAAGATTGGATCTGGCTATCCTAACGCACCTGACGAAGATTGAGAGTGCGACGATTGACAAGTGTGAGAATGAGTTGTTGCTGCTGAGTAAGTTGAGGAATCAGCCTGCGCAGACTGCCGGGAGGGTGAATTATCTGCTGAGTAAGTTGATGGTTAGTCAGGGGAAGGTGGAGAGGTATGAGGGGGAGATGAAGGGGTTGAAGAGGGTGCTTGGGAAGGAGTATTAGGTTTCGGGGACTATGTGTGTGGTGATACCATCTCCCTTCAGTGCGATTGCTATGATGCTTGTGCTGGTGCTGGAATGCAGGCACAACGCGGTCGAGTAGCACTATACGTGGTCGAAATGCAGGTGTTCTCCTAAATACCTTGTAGTCGATTTATGCGGCTGTGTATACTTCCAATTCGATCCATCCAATTCGATATATAGATGCAGTTACTACTACTGTGCTTATCCCAGCCCGCGCTGACGTCTATATCTGAGTATGCAGGCCGTAGATGCTGTGCGCGCATGCGTCTGAAATTACTATGACCCCACCTGTTCAATGCTTATGATACACTGGCCGCCGAAACAAAACTGCGTACTGGAGCGCGCATAACACAATCAACAGCGCAACACGACCGTGAATAATCCGCTACACAGTGCCCAGCAGAGTCCGCGGCGCATTTTCCTCTGACATCACCGCGCCAATACCAGGGTGAGACCGAGGATCGGGCAGAAGGGACGCATTTTCCCGCCGCAGCAGCCGAAGTTGAAAGCAGGGACGTGCACAACCGAGCAAGCAACTCGACCGTGAGCTCCACCTCATCCACAACGCGACCTTGCCCACTGCCATTGCGCAACCGTCCTTAATCCCCTCCCAGCGGTCCGCGCATCATCTTACTCTGCTCGTCGTACTCTACTTTTCTCACCCACTTTTATCTTCCCCACCGGACTTATTCTCCTCACAACTTCGGCGCAATGGCACCTTTAACAGATGCGTCGGTCGATGACCTCAAGAGCACCGTCACCAGCCTTGAGAAGCGCATCGCTGACCTGGAAAAGAGACTCGCGGGTCAGAATGGGGGTGCGCCTGCGTCCGCGGAGAGCGTCAGGATGATTCTGATGGGCCCGCCCGGTGCTGGTATGTTGTTCCCGGTTGGAGAGAGTAAAAAAGGCGGTTTTGCTTACATGGCATGTTAGGCAAGGGTACTCAAGCGCCCAAGATCAAGGAGAAGTTCTGCGCTTGCCATCTTGTAGGTTTTTGAGACTGAGTGGGATAAGGCATTGGGGGCTGACAGATTGCAGGCTACCGGAGACATGCTGCGCGCGCAAGTCGCGGCAAAGACTGCGCTCGGCCGGGAAGCAAAGAAGATCATGGACGCGGGTGGTCTGGTTAGCGACGAGATCATGATCAACATGATCAAGACGGAGCTCGAGAACAACGCCGAGTGCTCCAAGGGGTGCGTCTCCTCTTCTACTCAGTTTGAAGGACATGCTAATACAACCCCACCCCCAGATTCATCCTCGACGGCTTCCCCCGCACAGTAACGCAAGCCGAGAAGCTCGACGGCATGCTCAGCATAACCAAGAAGCCCCTCCAACACGCCGTAGAACTGCAAATCGACGACGGCCTCCTCGTCTCGCGTATCACCGGCCGCCTCGTGCACCCCGCCTCCGGCCGCTCCTACCACAAGATTTTCAACCCGCCCAAGGCGCCCATGACGGACGACGTAACAGGCGAGCCGCTCATCCAGCGCTCCGACGACAACGAGGACACGCTTAAGAAGCGCCTGTCAACATACCATGCCCAGACTGCGCCGGTCGTCGCATACTACCAGAAGACGGGTATCTGGAAGCCGGTCGATGCGAGCCAAGAGCCTGGCCAGGTGTGGAAGAGTCTGCTTAAGATTTTCGACGATAAGGCTATGGTTGCCGGACGGACGGGTAGTCTGCTCAACAAAGTCGGGCTTAAGAACTAGGTGGCCTCCGGCGATGTGAGCATGGAATGTGGTACCGGATTGCGAAATTACAACTACGGGTCACGCCTACGCTTTCATACCGCCAGGCAGACGCGTAGGGTCTCTCAGCAGTCGGCTGATCATGTTTCAAAGCCACGTTACGAGAAAAGTCCACTTTTACGCTTTGGAATGAAAGAATGCACATATGGTTTGGATGGGTTCCTTGTACTTGTACAGATGCATACGCGTGGTGTGGGTGGTCTGTGGGGGCATACCTGTGTATCTCAGATGGCTCTTGCGGACTGGTTTTCTGGTAATCTACCGAGATCGGGAATGCTAGAGATGTTCATGATTGATGCTTATGTGGTCGCAAATGTGGCCTCTTGCGAACCGTAGTTTTGTGGCCATACCCAAAAGTCTATGAGGACGCCTTGTCCTGGTGATTGGAACATATATCTTGCACACTGCCCAGAAGCCACTACCCTCAGCAAATAACCATTGCGCCACAACACACGTGCTCCCTCCCGCCGCCGCCCGCCGTTCCAACAACGTGTTCCCTAGTCCCAAGTCGCGCGAACTCGTGGCCTCGGCGTTAGCACAACACAACTTCTCCTAACCTCCGGGGCGACTTGTCACTCCCGCGAAAAAGTGTCCTCGGCGAATCTATTCCACAGAACACTTTGGCCTCCCATCTTAGAAAGGCGCATTCACCAGAGTCGCAATCGCAATCGCATACCTACCTCAACGACCCGCGCACGCCACGCTCCAAACCTCAGACCTCAGACCTCAGACCCCAAGCCTGCAACGAAACGCGACGAACCCGAACCTCAGCCAATAACGCTTCGCCCGCACCCCAGAAAGGTGCCACAACACACCTGCCCTCCCACCCCAAACCGCACATCGCACATCCTCAAACATGTCAAGTAGATTCACGCGCGCCGACCCCCGCGACGACCTCTTCTCCTCCTACAACCGCAGCGCCTCGCCCTCGAAAACAAAAAACAAATCGCGCGCTTCCCCCTACAACGCTAGTATAAGCCAAGGGTATGGGTATCCGGGTTCTTCTGCGGATGCGTATCCAGGGAGTGGTGGTGGGAGTGGGAGTGGGAATGGGAGTGGAGGGCTGTATCCTGGGGGCAGTGCGGGGGGAAGTGCGTATGGGGGTGGTGGGTATGGGGGGTATGGTGTAGGCGGTGGGAGTGGGAGTGGAAGGGGAGGAAGTGGTGGTTATGGGGGAGGAAGTGAAGATGGGATTTACAGATCCGCGACACCGAATTCAAGAGGGCAGTACTCGGCGGCTGTGTTGGATGAGTTGGAGAGTCAGAATGATGAGCATGTTGGTGTTTTGACGGGGAAGGTTAAGATGTTGAAGGATGTGTGTTTTGCGTCTCTTAAACCCCCTTTCCACTACCTCCCCATCTCCATTCATCCATCTCATGGAACACCTCGCTAATGTTGAAATAGTTAACCCACCTCATCGGCGACGAAATCCGCGACTCCACCACCCTTGCCGAGAAGATGAACGACCAGTTTGAGAACTCGAGACATAAGATAAAGGGCACTATGAATCGTATGTTGAGGATGGCGCAGAAGACGGGTGTGGGGTGGAAGGCTTGGGTCGGGTTCTTTGCGGCGGTTATTTTGCTGTTTTGGTGGGTGTGGTTGGGTTGATTGGGGGTGGGATCCAGAAGAGGAGAGAGGAGAGGGATATGGGAGAGATGGTTTGCATTACCTTGCATATGGCATGGTGTTGTGGCGTTTGGTTGCTCACCGGAGGGATTGTACAACAAAGATGCATGCGCAAGTTTCAATAGAGAGTGTGGTATCAATTTATTCTACATCATTCATTTTCATAAATCATACCGCTCAAATAATCTTCACCACCATGTTGTGTTGGATGGCGTGCTCTGGTGATTCTTCCTCGAAGATATTCGGGTAGAACCGATCTTTTTGGATTCGAGACCCCATGAGGCCTATTCTCTCGAACTCATGTTCGCCCCTCGCACCATTGCACTCCCAAGGTGCTGAATGCCTCTTCAACAACACCAAGTACGATACATGCTTTTTCTCACTCCATGTTGCCTGGAGCAGTTTCAGACAATGCACCGTTGTTCCAGGCTTCAGTTGATGGTAGAAGTCGGGCTCGAACATGAAGTGATCGCGATTCCGACGTTCATGTGCCTCGGATCTCGTGAGTAGCTCGGGGTCCTCGTTTGAAGATGATAGGGGCTTGATCCAATACCTATTAACGGTGGCCTGTATCATGGTCGCTGACAAGATGATATATGCACTCTCCAACTGGCCCGTAGGATCGGCGCCTTTTGGACAAGATTTTGCCGCCACGACTGTGGCCAACTCTTGAATGTCCTGCATATGCTGGTATGCAACACAGTCGTGATGAGGGTCATCCTTGTCAAATTCAAGAGAAGCCCAAGAGAAAGTAGGTGCCCTCCATATTGTACATCGAGCCGCTGGGTGACTTGTGTACCACGACAGGTTTTGTATCAAACCTTCTTTCCACATGCCAGCAACATATTCCCATCCAGTGACCTCTCCAAAACTCTTAGCAATGCCGGAGATCGCCGGGAAGATGTCGTTTGGCTTTGACAGATCCAGCTCACTGTAGTTTCTTATGAGTCTTGACCACATGCCCGGAATCTTTTCATGATCGTCTTTGAGCGAGCGCCACCGGTTTGGATGACAATGGCTCTTGGTGGGCGGCCATTCTCCGTCTATAGTCTTTTCAAAATATCCTCCTGTATATTCTCCTGGACTGTTCAGAGAATCCAGTCGCATGGCCCCACATTCGCAATCTTCGTACTCCATACACTCCCAGATGAGCTCATGCTCTGCGAAATGGAGAATGCGGGGACTCAAGATACGCTCTTGGAAGGCCCAGCCTCGCTGAAGAAGTGGCAAATCACGGCCCCCATGCCCTAGCGGATATCTCATGTGGATGTTAGGAGCACTTGACAGAGGTCTGCCGACATATTTCGGATCCGCGACTCGGAAGAGACCCCTATCTGGACCTGAAGATGCTGAAGCCGCGATCGTGATTGTAGAATTAGCGTATATGTTAGCCATTTGAGCAGACTGGTTCTGCCAATCCACCTCATCGTCTTGGACAATCTGCCTATGGGGTTAGTATCTATACCAAATGATACCTGATTCATGGAAATGTCAAAGTGACGTACGCATAACGAGTCTATCCAAATATAGTAGATTCCAAGCTCAACGATGACCGTGATAGCATGTCGAAACGTCTGCGGTATGTCTGTCTCTGGGATGCTTTGCAGATGAACAGACAATGTGTCTGGTTCCAGAGTTGTCTGTAATGGCTGTTGACCACCCCAACAGTGACTCAGGCATGCATAATGCCCCTTTCGTCCTTTCGTTTCGATCAAGCGGATTCGACGTGGTGTATCAACGCTCACCTCTATCACTCGGTCAGGTAGTTTGACACGATCGTCAACTTTGCGTGAAGTCGAGCACAAGCTTGTATGCGTGGTTAGACATGTATTAAGCCAGCGCTTGATGTTCTCATAGCTCTGTTTCGATGCGGTATCGCCTGGCAGGTCTGTCCAAACGGGAAGAATAGGGTCTTCTTGAGCTGCGCTACCATTAGTCAAGCTAGCGTCATCCATACTTGCGGACTTACCGTCCAGAGCAAACACCTTCGTCCTCACCGTTTCCGTAGATGATCCGTCTCCTCTGAATTCATCAAATGTTACACTCAGCATGTCCTTCCAGTAACCAATCCTGATATCGCGTCCAATAGACTCGGGAGTGATCTCGCATACAGCATTACAGTAGCGGCATCCACACCGGACTGTCTCTTTCAATGCCGCACTATGATAGCCAGAACCAAGGAAACCAGGCTTCCCCTGCATGCAATTCTCAATGGCAAGACACGCAGGCTGTTGAGTATCTACAATCGGTGGGTCGGGTAGAATTCCTGCATTCAGTTAAAAGAAGGCGCGTTTAGTGAGGCCCTAATCGCCTACATACTTTGACCATTTCGACCACGACGGTACTGTACTATTCCACCGTCCAACGACCAAGACTCCGACTTCTTCCAGGAGTCTGGGCTGTCTGGCGTTGTATTTGGGAGTTCTCGAACCGACCAGCGCGCCATGAGAGCCGTTTGTCTGTAAGATGCTGGTTTAGGTCTGGATTTGCTGACAGTAATTGGGTCGAGCTTCGTGAGAACTGGTATCTCTTCTTTGAGTGCGGTTCAGCCCCGCAACACGTGGGAACCTTCGTGCGAGGTAGGCGACTGTGCCACAACGCTGCATTGCAGCCTATTGATCGGCGTGGCTATGTCAATATCGCCAGCGCAAGGCTGCCTTGCAGCCTATTGACCGACGAGGCTATGTCGATATCCGTAGCGAATCAACTTGCCAGCCAGCCACTTATCTGTTCTCAGGTATCACACTTTTGAGGACTGCCCCTCAGTCGTAGTTACTCCGGACCTCTGATACGGTCGTAATATTGCTGTAGCCGCCGAGGACGTCACAAGTATACAACTCACTCACGGAGTTCGGCGCTCAGCAGCGCATTGTAGCAGCCCATCGATCGCAGGGAACGACATGCATGACGTTCGGGTGGCGATGCTGATGCGGTGTCAAAGGCTTCCCCGCCTGTATCACACATGATTGCAGTTGAGGTTCTGAGATGAATGGTGTGGTGCAGTGGCTGTAGAGAAGAAAGTGTCAGGCTCCTGCTCGGCCAAGTACCTACGTAAGCTAGGGGCGATTCGATAGCCGCGTTACCGAATGCGGCGACGAGGACGCTTTTGACCCCGCAACGACAGGAACATGCCAAAAAGCATTATCGAATCAACATCAGCCTTGCATGCACGCAATCATTTTCCAGATCTTACAACTAGCTTCCGAGCTTTGAGATTCTACTCGTCACAATCTTCAAGGACTTGTTTCATCTATTTGGCTACCAAGATAAACTCAATCCTTTGTAAAAAGATCGACCTGCCCATCAAACCTACCCATGTTGCGCAACGACCTCCGCGCACTTTGAATGCGCAGCAGAAAAAAGTTCGGGTCAGGCCGTTGATCCTCGTCAACATCAAGACACATCTCTATATACATGCGCAACTCAGGCGAATACCCCTCGTAGCCCTGAAGACAGTCCCGTGTCAAGTTGCCCGCTTCGACAAGATCTCGCAAAGGACTATCCGCCATGCAATACATGAGCGACATGACCAACCCAACTTGATACATGTCCGTCGCCTCAGTCGCTTGAGCCCCTTCTGGAGGCCTGTATAAATCGGCAACGAGAGGAAGATCACGGAGGGTATAGTTGTGAGTTTCCATCTCACTATCGGTGATGGCGCAGCCGAAATCCGCTAGTTTGATGCTGATGGGGTCGTCGTTTGGGTTGGCCTGCGGATGGCTCTTCAAAAGGATGTTAGATGGGATGATGTCACGATGGGTGATAGGATCCCAATTGTAGGCCGCCTCGTTGTAGGGATAGGGTCCGTGGTGTAGGTACTGGACGGCTGTTACCAGGGCTTCGAAGACTTGCCACACGAAGCTTTCGGAAATGAGCTTTCCGCGCTCGTTCCAGGTCTTGATCAAATCGGCTAGAGTACCTTTGTCGCAATACTCTGTTACTAGGTACGGTGAGGCGTGACGTTCGGTCACTGGGCTAGGAAGATGCGCGTCGTAGAGGGTGATGATGTTGCGATGATGTAGGCGGCTCAGAATGTTCATCTCTCGGGCTTGAAAGCCAGGATACATAGCTTCTGAAGGTAAGACCTTCATGATGCGCATGTCTTCTTGGAGATTATCGCGCACGAAGAGGATACCTTGATTGAAAGTCCCGTCAACACCTCCCAGTTCGGACTCGATAGTCCATCGTCCACCGACGACTTTTCCAACAGCGAAGATATCGCGATTACATGCTCGGTTTGCTCGGTCTAACAGTAGATTCTTGACAGTGCGCTCATTCTCAGCCCGGTTCGCAGCCCAACTTCCCGATTCGTTATTCGACACAAGCTGTATACAATGAGCCAGGCCTGGTGCATCGGCAGGATCAGAGGGCGACGTGATTAATTGAGTACGGTCCAGGAATCTAGTAATTACGTAGTTAGTGTCGTCTGGAATCTGGTAGACTCGCCTGAAGTAACGTAGGGTAAGCTGATCGGGCTTGTCGAGTTTGGGGTCTTCTTCAATCAGGTGGTCAGAAAGGCCTAGCATTGTTTCGCAGAAGACTTCGGCTTCACTTTGACATGTGAAGGTGCCGCTGTCGGCTCGGTTGCGATGCTTGTAAGTCTTCTCTGACATATCGTGGTGAGCACGTATGATACTAAAGGTCCCCTCGCGAGACATTAATGCTATCGACAATTCAGCAGCATCACGATCAAAGTATATACGGAGTGAGCAGATACGCCGTGCACATACCTCTGGGTGTACTTTGTTAACGGCATGTAGATGATTCATAACGGCACAGTGTTGTGTACGCGAATCTTGACCTGGTGCTCCACAACGTTATACTTTGTCGATACACCATGTTATATCAACGTGGAGCAGCACTATATACCAGAACGGTATATAATATTCCATAGTCTTCTTTTCTTCTTTCACTAGTTCAGCTTCAACAACTGACCAAGACAAACATCGCGTAGCTCTTGCGTTAGCGCCTTTCAACATGGCCTCGAAGAGCTCAAGTATAACGGAAACGACGAATGTCAGCAACGATAGCGTGGCACCGCATTCAACACCCCAATGGCTCAATGAGCTAGAACCGGAAGGTCCCGAATGCTCAGACTACTTCAACGAGTTCAAGCGCTGGTGTATTTCGAAGGATATCTCCTGGCTGTACCCTCCTGATAGAGCTCCGTTCACAGGGTTTATAAAAGAGATGAATCTGCGAACTTACCCCGAGGATCCAGAGGGATATCCAGGCTTTCACCACGCATTCGGCCTCTTTGTCCGCTATTATAAAGCCAGGAATGGCAACCCCCCTGGAAAGCTGACGATGATGGACATGTGTACGCTGCTTGATATGCTGAATAGCAAGTTTGCCTCCACGATAGCAGACGAGCGGTTTGCGATCGATGGGAAAGTCACCGGCGATAAAGTTGGTGAAAAATGGCGCATCGCCTCGAAGCTGCAAGACGTTGACGGAAGCTTCAACCGTGGTATTTACTTAGTCCACAACGAGAACAACCCTGATAATTCCGTACAGATCATGAAGACTCTTCCCCTACCCAGAGATTATCTCGGCTTCGCTGAGCGAGAGCTCGATATTCTCGGGACTTTGCAGCACGACAAAGTCATCAAGTTCTTCGACGGTACCGCACCAAAGAGCATACACGATACGGCATGGATGATCACGGAGTACTGCAACAAAGGTACGTTGTTTGACTTCCTCGCAAAATATGCCTATGAGGCGAAACTTCCAGTACCTGAGCTCTTCGTTTGGAACATCTTGGAGAGCCTGGTACACGCGGCTGTTTATCTGCACTATGGTCCGAATGTACTCGAAAAGTTTGAGCAACAGGAGCCTGAAGATGGATGCCTGGAGGTTAAAGAAGACGCCTCTTGGGATGTCGTATATCATCGCGACATCATTCTGTCGAACGTCTTCATCACTTCTAGTACCGGCGACAAGACTGAGTATCCGATCGTCAAGTTAGGCGACTTTGGCTGCGCCATGCGGCAATCAGAAATTAGTACTTTGGACCAAGACAAATATCCAAAGGCAGAGGAAACACCGCGTATGGACCCTGCATACGTGCCACCGGAGGGTCAATATGGCACCAAAGCCGTCGATGTGTATCAGATCGGCCGACTAACGTGGTGTGTTGTGCAGAACGTCGTGTCTCCTACCTGTCTGGACGAGAAGGCAATGCTGCCTGAGAATTTCGAAACTTCAGAGGATGCGCCTTACTCACGGGAGCTACGCCGCATCCTCTATTCCTGCACGAGGGCCCGCGCTGACCTTCGAATCGATTCTCTGCCTCTATTACGCCTTGTCCGGGATACGAGGAAACGATTGATATCTGAGAACCGCTTGCCGTTTGTCGAGCTCTACGTATCTTTTGTTGAGCGTCTTTCTGAGTTCCTTGAATTCGCCCGTTAAGCGATGAAAGGGATGAGAAAGAGATCTGAGTAGCTTGGTAGTTAGATGTAATCTACTCAAACTTGTTTTATACGTTCTATAAGCTGTGATCTGGCGGGCTCAGATCTTTGGAAGAGCGTATTGTGGTAGCCTTTGGAACCAGCTCTTGGTAGAAATGCAGTGAAATATGTCAGCGAATGAATAGTTCGACCATCCTTCAGATAGGGCTGGGTATAATCCCAGCAATCAAGACAGCTCAACCTCGGGCGTCGTTCTCATCGTTACGCTCACTGACTTTGCACAATGTACTGTTGTATTACAAATATGCCTTGCTTGCCTTACTCCACCATTCCGCTGGCCAAGATCTGGGTTGGCCAATTCGGCGACGTGGGAGGACCGAACTAGCACCGAGCCTGAAATGGATTGCGTGGTAACATATGATTGATCGCAAGATGTCTCATTTCGGGATACAGTGTTCTCCAGGCCCCAAAGAACGCGCGTAGGTGGGTAGATGCGCGTGCATCGGCGTTTCTTTCACGTAGATCAGGCGGGCCGCGTGGGTTCGCTCCCTAGACTCCTGCTACCGGCCCGTCGAAGGATTTCCCGCGAAATCCCGCATCCTCTGATCTGACGGATAGCGGATATCGGTGTAGTATCTGTTGTCGTACGTAGTCTTGATGGGCTGCTATCATTTCTTGATATGTTATGATGATTGAAAGCATGTCACTTCAACGACCAAAGAGATAGTATCGAGTTGAAGAGGTAAGGTGATGAGCCAAGCTGCCCAAATATCTATATGATTACATACCGCCGTGGTTTGCGGGACATATGTGGAAGTGCGATCTTGGCTGTGGATAGACCGAAGTTACTCCAGCGAATTGATCTTAGATGGTGGCCTAAGGCAAGCGAAACCGCTGTATGGGCGGGTGGAAGCTTCCTGCCCGTCTCTGATGCGCAGCGGTGAGGATTGAAGAAGTGCCCTGTGTCGTCGTCGGATCGTGGCTGGCGTCGCCATGAGTGGGTTCGTTGTTGACGATCGTAATTATAAGAAAGAGTGGTGAGAGTGTCTGGGCCGGGCTTGGAACATCTTCAGGGCTCCGATTCTCCTTGGCTTTGCTGATCATGGTACGTGTACATGGGTGTAACAAGTACCGGTAGTGTAAGGCCTGCCATCGCCAAGCGTTTAAACGTTCGTTGTTCATCAATCATCGCATGCGCGGCGACGAAAGTATTACCCAAAGATGACGAACAATGATGCCTATACGCCTCATCCATCGATAGACAGCCTTTTAGCATGGAGTGGAGCGCCGGCCACTGGGGAGGAAACACTGGAATCAGAAATTATACTCACGGATGCGATGCCGTCTCGAACGTCAGCTTGCCACGAACGGTCTTACCAAAGCAGGACCAAGATACACTCTGCTCATTGGCGTGACTGGTCAAGGGCCATAACGCCGCGAGCAGTCCGCGTGCTCTTAAGAGACGTGCCTTGTTGGTCCTCGGTGTATAAAGATTCGTCGATCTGCGTCTGCCAACCACCATTTCGCCTCAGTCACTGGATGCCTAAAGACGACCGCAGTGACCTGCTGTGCTCAGAATGCGGTGACGTTTAGGCTTCCGCGGTTTAGCCACTTCGACCTGGTATAGCGACCCCGAGTAGAGAGCCCACTGTTGGGCGCCTGGAGACGTTGATCGTAAGCTTCGCTCTTGTGCTGTGAACGCGTCTTGGAATGTCGATACTGTGCTTTTCCAGCATGGTATGTCGAGCCTGGATGAGGTATAAGTATCAGGCTGTTGCCCCTTCGAGAGCTCATCATCCAACACGATCCTCAAACCTCAAGCAACTCATTCCCACTTCAACCTCGAACACTCCGACAGTATGTCTTGTCGATCTCTTGCTTTTGCTTCCAGCTGACCATGCCTCCCAGAGCTTCAAGATGCAGTTCACTCTTGCCTCCGTCATCGCCATCGCTGCCGCTCTCGCTCCCGCGGTCAGCGCCTTCTCCGTTAGCGTAAGTCATATCCCGATGTGAGCCTCAACGAGGCGATCCTCATCATGAATACCAGCTGACTTGTATCTCTCCCTCCAGAACTGCGAGACCGGCCAGTACAAGAACTTCGGAGAAGGTGGTAACAACAAGTGTCAGGGTTTCAACACTGGCAAGAGTGTTGCATTCGACAGCAACAAGGGCCTGTCTCTCCGCGTCTTCGCTTCGACCAACTGCCAGGCTGGTGACGAGATTCTCATTACCGAGCAGAACAAGTGCCAGGAGGTTCCTTTCACCGGGCTATCAGTGCTGGCGGAGTAAGGGCGATCGCATACATCTTGGCAAGCAACAAACGCTTTGAGCATTTCGGGGAGCGAAGGAATTTGGAGGCGATGCTATCCAACATAGCGTAGCCGTCCACCGTGTATCTTAGACACCTGCACTCGTCACGTGCCATAAAATCGTTAAAATGTCGATATTGGAAGGTGTCATGGTCTATCAGTGATTCGCGTGTTGGAGATGTTTATCATCTGGTGCTCTTTGGAGAGGGCGAGTCGGCCGGTTGGCGGACCCCTTCATCGGTGTAGCGGGAACAACGTTGCCGATTTGAGGAACGCGTTAGAAACCTTTGGAAGCAATCTCAGCAATCGATGGGTCGTGGCACCCGCTGAACGCGTGGTGTTGGTGTCGGATGGGATCGTGCTCCGGCGATGGCGTTCCTTACAGCTCACCGACACGTGATAGCACGCAACCGCAGCATCGTCGGTCCGATTCGTCCGGTTCCTGAACGATTTGTAACGCGAGAATGACGCCACGCACGCCGCTGCTCCAGCGCGACATTTCAACCCCACAACCCTTTCTCCCACCATACAGCCTAACGCGATCTTCTGCTGGCATCCCGCAAGAGGCGCGTCTAGATCACGGTGCTTTGCCTACATCTGCCGAGGTGTCGCAGCCGGGCCCTAGCCTATAGCGTACCTCTATGACGTGGCTATGGATCAATCTCGGACGAGTCCGTCATTGTTTGGCGACATACTCGTGGAAAAGCTTAGAAATGCAAAACTGATGAAGCACTAACGAGACACTTATAGACCGCCATTGATCGCACGCCAAGTTCGCATCTCACTCACAACACACAACTTACAAACATCAGTCTTGTTACTCTATACTTTTGCCTTTTTCGTTAGATACCCATCCACATTTCCGCAAACATGGCACCAAGAAGATATGAAGCCGAGAAGGTGGACCCTGCGCCTTTGGCAAAGCCTCTCGACTTTGCTTTCTCCAAGAAGACTGCTCAGAACCGATTCCTCAAGGGTGCTATGACCGAGCGTCTATCATCATGGGATGCTCAGAACCTTGAAGCTCGTGGTGTCCCTTCCAAGAACCTCGTCAACGTCTACCGACGATGGGGCGAGGGCGAGTTCGGTGTCATCCTGACCGGTAACATCATGATCGAATACGACCACCTGGAGGCTGCTGGCAACCCTATCATTCCCCGCGGCTCAAAGTACGAGGGCGAGCGATTTGAGATGTTCAAGGAGCTTGCGACACAGTCGAAGAAGCGCGGCTCTTTGATCGTTGGACAGGTCAGCCACCCAGGTCGCCAGGTAACCGAGAGCATCCAAAAGAACCCCATCTCCGCATCCGACGTACAATTAGAGGGCAACGTCATGGGCATGACCTTCGCCAAGCCACGCGCCGCTACCGACGAGGATATCAAGAACGTCATCGAGGGCTTCGCTCACGCAGCTGAGTACCTTGAGAAGGCCGGTTACGACGGTATTCAGCTTCACGGAGCCCACGGCTACCTGCTCGCACAGTTCCTCGCCCCAAGCACCAACAAGCGTACCGACAAGTACGGTGGATCTCTCGAGAACCGCGCACGCATCATCACCGAGATCGGTCAGGAAGTCCGCAAGCGCACATCTTCCAACTTCGTCCTTGGCATCAAGCTCAACTCCGTGGAGTTCCAAGACAAGGGTTTCGGTACCGAGGAGGCCGCAACCCTATGCAAGTTGCTTGAGGATAACAGCTTCGACTTTGTTGAACTGTCTGGTGGTACTTACGAGCAGCTTGCTTTCGGCCACAAGCGCGAGTCCACCAAGAAGCGTGAAGCTTTCTTCCTCGACTTCGCCGAGAAGATCACACCTTCGCTCTCCAAGACCAAGACCTACGTGACTGGTGGCTTCAAGAGCGCCGCCGCCATGGTCGACGCCCTCAACACCGTCGACGGTGTTGGTCTCGCTCGTCCGGTCACCCAGGAGCCCGAGCTTCCTCGCCAGATCATCAACGGCGAGGTTCACGCCGCGATCAACCAATTGACCGACGACAACGATTTCGGCATCACCAACGTTGCGGCAGGAACACAGATCAGGCAGCTGGGCAAGGACCAACAGCCTATCGACCTGAGCGACGAGAAGAACTTCGAGGCCTTCCAGAAGGACATGGGTACCTGGGCTCAAGGCTTCTCCGATGACAAGACCGGAAGCAAGTACGGTTACGTTGACATTGAGAGCGCCAAGGCCATTCCTTACGGCACCGCTGCTCCTGCTTCGTAGATATTTCGCATCAAGGATATGTGTATATAGATGGAAGGAATAGAAACGAATTCTACGACTGAATACATCAAATCAATGTATTCATACACAGCCCTCTCCCTCCCCCGGTGTAGCAGGTCTCTCATAAAACTCGTCCTCACTAATCTCCCTTATAACCTCAATCCTCCACCTCTGCGTCTTCGCACCCTCATCCTTCTCCCTCAACACAACCCTCCTCCCATCTTCCCCACCAACATCCATAACCTTCAGCACGCCACTCGCTCCATTCCCAATCCACCATGTTCCATCGCCCCACTCGCCCACCTTCCAATCCAGCGCATGCGGCGTGTCGTCTGCCCGTCTCAATACCGCTTTCGACGTGTCGTCTGCGTAGACGTCAAGCAGCCGGTTTGGGCCTAGCCACCATGTACGGAGCCGGTAGCAGTTGGGGGTTGAGGTTGAGGGTGAGGAGATGAAGGCCCAGTATTGGCCT